TTGTCTGTTTTTGGATTTGGAGACTTTTTTTATGGGTCTGGACAATACCTAACAGCATTTTGTGCAATTTAATAAATGATTTAGTAGTTCACTTCAAGCCTTAAATTGTCAAATTAGTACAAATAATTAAAGCTTTCCTCTTCCGGTTGGAGTGGAAGGAAAAAAAATGTTATTACGGTTCATTTTAAACTTAACATCCATGGATGTCACTCTTGAATAGTAACCTATTGAATGTCACTGTGAGGCAGGTTGTTCGTGGCACAAAAGTGAATAAAAAAACTCGATTAGAGATCAATCATTTTAACAAAAAAAATGCACCCATTGTCACTGTTGGAGAATGACATGGTCATAATAACTAGACTGGCTTGTTTTTCTTTTAAAATGCTTGACTATTTTATCTTTGTGCCCTCTTATTTGCCCTTATATAGTAAAGCCTTTTTTTTATTTGAAGTTTAAATTTTAACGGTTTATATATATGCTCTCCAACATCGATTTTCACTAGTTATAGATGTATTTCTTTGTTATATTATATTGATCAGTCGACTTGCCGATATGGGCCTCCAAGCGACTCATGCACAAGATGATGATAAGAACCCAAAGGCAATTTTTTTTTCTTATTTTTTATTTTGTAAGGGATAAATTTGATTTTGATTTTGTTATTTTTCATGAAATGTGACTGCTGAAAGGAGATTCAAATGGTTGGCATCATCTTGTGAGAGTCCAATATTTCTCTTCTCGGTTTGTTCACATACATCGGCGTGGTTCAGAACATGGATGCTGCCAAAGGGATGGAAGTTCCACTGTGGAACAAAGCCCACGAACCTCTCTCGGACCAGGTTAATTCTGTCATTATTAATTTGATTGTTTTGAGTTACAATTATTTTTGTAATTATATTTGGTTTTAAGGCTTAAGGATTCATCAAGGCAATTGATCCACATATTAAGTCTAGCTATGCTAGGTTAACCTAAACGATTGACGGTGGTTGATTTGGAAAAGATGGACTGCGTCTCTTCTTTTGTAATCTCTCACATTCTACAGTTCAAACACACATCACAGCCAAAATTAGTTTCTTGTTTGAACAATAATTCCCGTTTGTGTGCGTTATACATACGTGAGAACATGCTAATTAAAGTAAGAGTGAGATCTCTATAATTCCATTTTCTCATACAAAATTACGTATCACAGAACGTTGAATTCCTATTTTTCATGCAGAATTACGTACGTAAACACGCAAAGTTTGATCCCCATTGCCCAAAGCAGCGCGACTATCGTACTATTCGTACCACTTTTCAAAACCCAAAGGAAGGTATCGTATAGTAGTGTAGCTCGGAAGTTCGAGTGTCGTTTCCACAGAGAGCGATGTAAAGAAAATAACAGAGATGAAAAAAACAAGTGTGATTGAGAAGTAGAGATTTATGCAAGATTTGATTTAAAGAAAATTCAATTGATTAAAACACTAAGACATTGGGGTTCCACTTTTAACATAAGCATGCAACTCTTATTAATTTGATCCACAAAATATTTTCCATTGTAGTTGTTCAAAATAATTAAAGCTCTTTTTAATTTCCTTTAGAAGTATTCTAAGCATAACTTGTACCATTGGCAACAAACTATCAAAAAATAAACTTCATCAAAATTCTATTGATCTTTAGTAATTCTCTTCTCTTTTAAAAGCATGAAAGTTTTTACTACACAATGGGAAAAACATGATTGAACCCATGAAATATATTATCAAACATTCATCAATCAATTAAAAAGAAAACTACAAATTCCATTTGAACAAAAACTACAAATTCACATTAAAATTTAAGTTTGGATCAAACTAATAAAAATTACATAATCATATTAGAAGCTTTCTCCCTAGCATTAGCTAGGGAGTTAGTTCCCCATAAAATAAAACTAAAACAGAAATTTAGAACTAGAAGAATTGGAGGAAGGAGAGAAAGCTCAAGAGTTGTGGGGCTTGGTGTGTTTTGAAGCTTGAAGACTTCTCTATTTATAGGGCTAAGAAGAAGGAACATCATGATGAATTCCAACACCACCATTCCTATTCCAATACAATCCATAACTCCCACTTCATCTTGTCTAAGTTAGTGTGGTTGGAATCAATTCAATCTTATACTTCTTTTGGCATGAACTCATGCACAAGATGATGATAAGAACCCAAAGGCAATTTTTTTTTCTTATTTTTTATTTTGTAAGGGATAAATTTGATTTTGATTTTGTTATTTTTCATGAAATGTGACTGCTGAAAGGAGATTCAAATGGTTGGCATCATCTTGTGAGAGTCCAATATTTCTCTTCTCGGTTTGTTCACATACATCGGCGTGGTTCAGAACATGGATGCTGCCAAAGGGATGGAAGTTCCACTGTGGAACAAAGCCCACGAACCTCTCTCGGACCAGGTTAATTCTGTCATTATTAATTTGATTGTTTTGAGTTGCAATTATTTTTGTAATTATATTTGGTTTTAAGGCTTAAGGATTCATCAAGGCAATTGGATTCATCAAGGCAATTGATCCACATATTAAGTCTAGCTATGCTAGGTTATAACCTAAACGATTGACGGTGGTTGATTTGGAAAAGATGGACTGCGTCTCTTCTTTTGTAATCTCTCACATTCTAAAGTTCAAACACACATCACAGCCAAAATTAGTTTCTTGTTTGAACAATAATGCCCGTTTGTGTGCGTTATACATACGCGAGAACATGCTAATTAAGGTAAGAGTGAGATCTCTATAATTCCATTTTCTCATACAAAATTACGTATCACAGAACGTTGAATTCCTATTTTTCATGCAGAATTACGTCCATAACACGCAAAGTTTGATCCTCATTGCCCAAAGCAGCGCGACTATCGTACCATATGTGTGATTAATTTCACCTATAATTAGGAGCACAAGTACTTAACCTAATGGATACCATATTGATCATCCAGGTCCAGCCTTTGGTTACTTGCAGTACATACATCTTTTTATTAAGTTAAGTGTTTCACAATAAAAATACGAGTACTGTTCTTACATCCTGTTTGAAGTTTAATAATAAAACTCAAAAATAGGGACGGCATAATCATTGATCGTCTAACCCACACGCAACTTAAATTAGAAACCAAGGATTGGGATTTGAAATTCATTTCTGTGACCCTTGCAAGAAAGCGACTCCAATCACTCAAGGCGACCGAGAGGTGCATTAAAATTGAAGTAACTGAAATCAGGCAGGAACTGAGGCATTACAAGGTAGTGGGGATTCTTCTTTCTATGGTCAATTTATGAAGAGTACTAGTCATTTATGGTGTTGATTGCCATATGTTAATGTATGTGAAACTTGTTACGGGATCGCGTGAACAACTGTCGTTAACATTCCTCAAGCGATGAACGACTGTCGTTAACAATCCTCAAGTTATGTGTCATTTGGTGCTATTGTCTGTTCATGCAGGGAACAAGAAAACTCCAGGCTTGGCGACAGTTCCAAACCACCTAGACATAATATGGGTCCTCACAGATGCTGAGGCCTGAGGGCGATGAGTGGAGGATGATGATATCTTCGAGTCCTAATAAGGTGAAGAATTATTGGGCCCAAACCTTTGCATCTCTAATGGATTGGACTTGTGTATTTGTTCTCCAGAAACCAATTTTAAGTGTGGCACTTCATGCATTCTTTTCAATTCTTTAGCTGTTGCACCTCAAGCTTTCTTCACATGGGTATTCAAAGGTGTTCAATTATGGCTGTCTTTTGCTGCCAACCCATGTGGGTTTTCTTTTGGTTACTGGAAAAAACGATTCTTCTGAACCAGGCTTGGTGTAGGAAGGCCTGAGGTTTCAATATGTATCCAATAGGGCTCAAATTTGGATATGTTATAATAGACACCCATTGGAACAACTTTCATGAAGAATGCATTCCCATCTGAGCAGTAAAAACGTGTGTTTTGGGGCTTGCAAGCTGACTGCCGAAAATGGACTGGAGTTTGGGCTTCATTTCTTCTCTCCTTGGGCTGCTGCACAAGAAATAGCTACCTAATAGAAAATTCAACTGAATTAGCCTTTATTTCAATGAAGTGCAAATGGATTTGTAAAATGCAATGTAACATTCTAATTGGTTCAAAATTCATTGAAACAAAGTACTAACAAATATAGATTAGGGATAGAAATTGTAATAATTATGTGTTTATCACGTACCATATGTATGATTAATTTCACCTATAATTAGGAGCACAAGTACTTAACCTAATGGATACCATATTGATCATCCAGGTCCAGCCTTTGGCTACTTGCAGTACATACATCTTTTTATTAAGTTAAGTGTTTCACAATAAAAATACGAGTACTGTTCTTACATCCTGTTTGAAGTTTAATAATAAAACTCAAAAATAGGGACGGCATAATCATTGATCGTCTAACCCACACGCAACTTAAATTAGAAACCAAGGATTGGGATTTGAAATTCATTTCTGTGACCCTTGCAAGAAAGCGACTCCAATCACTCAAGGCGACCGAGAGGTGCATTAAAATTGAAGTAACTGAAATCAGGCAGGAACTGAGGCATTACAAGGTAGTGGGGATTCTTCTTTCTATGGTCAATTTATGAAGAGTACTAGTCATTTATGGTGTTGATTGCCATATGTTAATGTATGTGAAACTTGTTACGGGATCGCGTGAACAACTGTCGTTAACATTCCTCAAGCGATGAACGACTGTCGTTAACAATCCTCAAGTTATGTGTCATTTGGTGCTATTGTCTGTTCATGCAGGGAACAAGAAAACTCCAGGCTTGGCGACAGTTCCAAACCACCTAGACATAATATGGGTCCTCACAGATGCTGAGGCCTGAGGGCGATGAGTGGAGGATGATGATATCTTGAGTCCTAATAAGGTGAAGAATTATTGGGCCCAAACCTTTGCATCTCTAATGGATTGGACTTGTGTATTTGTTCTCCAGAAACCAATTTTAAAACAATGAATTGCATCATATCTCTCGTCTATTTGAAATGTGGAAACATAAGTTTTGTGAAAACAGTTAAAATACAATTGTAATATAGCTGCTGAAATTATAATGCAATGCAACCTTAGAGTCATTCGGTCCAGGCCAATAGGCAGACAGTATAAGATTAGACATCCTATAACAGCATTTCATCAGAGGATGCACACAAGACCGAAAGAGAAATGATAAACAAAACAGAAAACCGAAATTTGGACATCATACGATCTAAACTGACCATGTATAACAGATATCTCTCACCGGCCATTAGGCTCAGCCAGCCTTGGCCTGCCACCCATCTGGTCAAGAAACTTAGAGAGACGCAAATGCTTTGCAACCCATTGCTCAGTCAACTTCTGTTCCTTTGCTTCGGCATCTCTCCTTAGCCCTGCTAATTGTTCCCTGTATTCTGCTTCAATCCTATCCAGAGCAGCCTTCTGCTCTTCCCTTAGAGCTTTCACCTTCGCCTCAATCTCTTCCATCTTCTCCCTCCTCCGACAAGCCTTCTCCGATTCCAGTTGCAATTCTACTCTCCTTAACCTCCAGGATGCTTCCTTTTTATGCGCTGCCCAAGCACGGTGCACTTCCTCCAACTCTCTAGAGCACTCTACCAACTCAGATATTACAAGGTTCTCTCCACAAACAGGAACTGAGCCATGATGTGGCATATTGCCCAAAACTAGACTATTATCTGATCCTCTATCAGGCTGCAGCCAAGGAATTGGAGGAGAGGGTGCAACTGTTGGAGACAGACTCAGGGTAACAGACGGAGATGGTGGCCTGACATTGGAGGTCACATTGGAATTAGAAAGCCAAGGAGGAAGCATCGTAGGTGCAGGAGAAGATGTTTCAGTATGAAGATAGGACCCATTTGAAGTAGCCATGAGATATGATGGGGCAGCACGCTCCTGCACTAGCTTCTCAGCAAAAGTTTCAAGAATTCTATCGTATTTACCCTCGTCAACAGGGTCAACTGTCTTATTGTTTTTCTGTTCTCTCTGCTGCTTCTCTTTGAACACTTCCCACCACTTACCCAATCTCTTGGCAGTACGTCCAGGGACTTCAGCAGCAATTTTCTTCCATTTATTACCGTGTTTGGCTTGAAGGCAAATGACAAGGCGCTGCTCCTCTTCAGTAAGTGATCCTTTCTTGATGCCGGGCTTGAGATAATTCTTCCACCTTTCTAAGCAAGATTTGGCATCCCTGTTTAGGGGCGTATTCATGCGCTGTGATACAAGGTTCCACTCCCTTGGTCCATATTGCTGCACATACGCACGTAACAAAGCGTCCTCTTCAGCTCTCCAACGTTGTCTCTCCTTCATTTCCATGACCAAATACAACTGCCCATTGCTTCAAACCGAAACGCTTCATAATGTATCTGGAATCCAGAAATCACCATGTTAGTCCATCTTCTACTGTGATATGAATCATGATGATGTGTTACCAATGTCAAAAATGAACTGAATAGCGAGATAGAAAGGGACTAAACTCTGGGCTATGAAGAAAAGCTGATAAGGCAACAAGCTGATAGAATTAATAAAGGATGGACCAACTAGTTGAATGCTCTGTTTGAAACCACGATAGCAATTTCATCATCCATTTATTCGTTTAATACAAGAAAACAAAGGAAATACTGCTGTAATGCTCAATGCCTTCCTCTTTTCACTTCAATTGCTAACAGCCAAATACAGAAAGCAGAACAGAACAACTCCTAGTAAGAAACCCTTTCCTTATTAACTTAGTAAATTGTAGACAGGAACAGGACACTAACAAACTATAAGAACAAGATATATTTCATATTTGTAAAATGATGGATAATTAAAAAATTTGCATATTCATTATTTATTGTCTTTTGGTAATTAGTAATTAATAATTAATAGGTATTACTATTTATCGAAACCTACACTTATATACTCCTTATTCATAGTATATATACTCAGTATAACATACTGATGTTAATTATATAGTGAATTATAAGATATCTTTATGACAATTAAGGTTCAAAATTTTAACTTTAAACAATAAACAACTGGTAAAGAAATTAGATAAAGGTACCCAAATTTGATTACAAAATAAGGTGACAAATGAACACACTAACACTAACAATGAACAATAACAAAACCTGACAAATTACTAAAATTTCGAAAATATGCTCCAATATTCAACTAAATATTCCAACACTATATTAGATGCAAAACCCAAAAAGCCAAAATTGAGAACCAAAATAATCAACCACTGAAGAAAAACAAAACTGAGTGAAAACCCCCACTGATTTTATCCCAGTACATGGCGCAGGAAATTGTCCTGCTGACTGGGTTGGGGACTGGGGATGTGATGAGATTTTTTCCACAGGAGAGAAATTTGTTTTCTTCTCTGTGTTTCTTCAAAAATTATCTGTGAGAACTACCCCACACCTACTTCATCCAGACCATCAAATTCATTCACCAAACAAAAGTACAACAATTACTTTGAGAAATGAGACAATAAAGAAATAGCCATCACCAACTATGCAAAGCATTGTTGCTAAATCACTCTATCACTAACTTTTCGCATCATTTTAAAAATAAAACAGAGAATGAGGTTGCAGATAAAACTAAGAACAACCCCAAGAAACTTGTTTTGAAAAGAAAAAAAAAACTTTCTTACGAACCCAAAGGACATCCCCATAACCCAACAAAGCAAATTGCAGAGTAAAAGAAAAACTAGAAACTTTTTCAACAATCAATGACAGGAAGCAGGTACTCGTTTACAAGTTGGGAACTTTATCTCTTTTTATCTTTCAATGCTTTGCATAATGAGATGAAATGCGGAAATTAAGAGAGAGAGAGGCTTACATGTCTGCTTAACTGCACCAAAGAACCAAGCTTGGTCTTCGACGCATCTCCTCCAACCAAACTGCTAATAATAATAATAATAATAAGACTGTTGTTGGGATGAGGAAACAGAGAAAGATAAAGTTTTGTTTTTGCTAAAGAGAGAGAGAATGAAAAAGGGTGGAGACTCAAACTCCCAAAACAACCCTAGAGGGAGAAAAAATCCCAGGCTAGAGAGAGAGACAGAAAAAAAAAAAAAAAAAAGGACAGAAGAGACTAGACTTATATGAAGAGAGAGAGAGAGGGAGGAGGGAGATCTGACAGAGAGCGTAAAAGGAGGGCACGCGAATGGAGGGCCAAGGAGGCAAATGCAGACCCCAGCCCAGCCGATGACGTCGTTTTAAGGGGAATTTGCAATATCATCAAACCACAAAACAAATAAAACAAACAAGAAAAGAAAAGCTAAGGTCTACTCTACTGCTCCAGTACTGTGTTGTGTGTCATCTTCACCCACCATGGCCCTGCCTCAACGACTCAACGACAATTCAAAACTCACACACATAAAAACGTAAAAGCATAAAAATCAAAATTATAACTAAAAAAGCTGCAAACTTTTGCTAGAGAGAGAGAGAGAGAGAGAGAGAGACGCGTACGCTCGATTTCAGCGCTTATATCTCCTCCTTTGTGTCATTTGGGGTCGTTGGGTGGCTCATAATAGTTCATCAGTGTTTCGCGGGAGTAAGCAAAGCTACTACGATTACGTGCAATTATTATCATAATATACAGCTAACAAGACGCAGAGAGGTCTTTGGGCACATGGGTCGGGCATTGGGTACGTGGGCCTTACCCGTGTTTCATGATTCGGGTGATTCATTCACCTTTGATGCCACCTGCGTCAGGGAGGGTGGCAAACGTACTATGGAGGATAGGAAACCGCATTTTTCACATTATTGGGTTGCGGGCCATATCATTGCACGTGTCTCGTTTAAGCACCTTTAGGTCACATTTGATGGGTTGGACTATTTTGTTTAAAATTATAAGAGTATTGACTGTTAGTCAACGAGGTCTTGTCCAGCGGTAAATAGTTGTGACTAGCAGATAAGTGATCTTAGATTCGAACTTGGTACTGTCCACGTGAGAAATCCTCATCTTCTTTAATTTAGGCTATCCCTCTATTTGGTGTGTTGAGATGGTACTTCTTCAATTAAACATCCGTCCAACAAAGCATTTAATTGTTTAATGCGTACAAGAATCATGACCATTGTTTAATACGTTGAGACTAAACATGTGAAATTGAATAGCAATCCAATATATTGTGTCTTACAAATCTCACGTAGAAAAATGAAACTCATAACAATTGGTTTCGATACAAGTTCAATCCAATATAAGCCCGACCATTAAACAAGACAAGACCTTTCGCAACTTTTCAACAAAATTAAGCGTAAAGTTGTAAATTAGTAACGTAACACACAATAATTTTTAATTATTTGTTATTATTTTGTATGATAGTAAGGGTACAATTATGAGCATGGAACCCCCATGCATGCTGTGAGATCTGACCGTCGGTTGAAGAAAGGGGAAAAGATGAGAATGAATGAATTCCAATTCCATTACGTCAGGATGCTCACAGAAGAGACAAGGGGTTGCTTGGGTTCCTCTAGGCAAGCTCGCACCGTCTTATTCAGCACCCCATTCATATCATCCATCTCCATCGCTCTGCTAAACAAAGACCTCCTATGATCCTATGGTCAACAGTGTAGATTATAGAGTAGGAGAGCAGGGCAGGGGAGCAGGCGCAGCAGGGGATCAAAAAGGAGACAAGAGAGAAAAAAAAGCCATCATTAGGATGGGGTGGGCCCCAGACGAGGTGTGGTGGGGGGGACTGTAGTCCGGGTTTCACGGCACAAGGAGACGAGTCTGATTGGGACGCGACCTTCTGATCATGCTCAGAAGCCCCCCCTCAGTTGTCAGTGATACGTTACGTCCCTTTTATTTTTTTACCCTATTTTCCTTTTTTTTTCTTTTTTCTTTTTTAAAATGCCCCTCTCTCTCTCTCTCAGTGCAGTGTGCCTGTCTTTTTACTCTTTTCTGGGTCTTTTATTTTGGGGTTGACAGCGCCAGTGAGAAAAAAACCCTACCAGACCACCACTTGCCCATCTCACATTCTTTTTCTTAATCTCCCCCCACTGCCACCACCAACCCACCCTCCATTTACTCAACTTACCCCCCGTCCCCTCTCCTCATCCTCATCACTGATGAGATTCCCCTCTGCCTCCTCCTCATTATTTCTACATTATACAATATATATTTGTGGCAAATGGAAAACCAAGCAAAACAATTGATCATTTCTGTCTTTGCATTGCATTATCTCTGGGCCGTAATTCTTCTCTTGTCTTTATACAAAAATGAGAATTAAATATAGTGCCAAAGTCTTTTTGTTTACTGCTTTGTTGACTTGGATAAATTTTAGCGGCTTCCGTTAATGGGTTATAATATTAATAATACACCAAAAACTATATGCTAAAAACTACAATAAGATTGAAAGTGACACCAAATAATAATAATAATAATAATAAATAGTTGAACTTGGAAAACCAAGAGCTAGGGCTTGAAGGAATTTTAGAAAACAGGACTTGATTAGGTTTTAAAGGTGTGAGAATGTACCTCTTATGATGGTCCCATATCACATGGATCTTCCCGGCAATATTGATCAATGCTCCTACTTTAGGGCAACAATCACTCCCTTACTTTATAAAGTTATTGGAAAATCACGACATGATTTGAAAGTCATTCTAATTATAAATTTTCTATAAGTGGCTTGTAACTTAAATGGTTAAGAACATGTAGTTGTGCACCCGAGATTCTATGTTCGATTCTCTTCTTTCCCAGAATCGCTTGTATAAAATATTAAAAAAATCTTCAAACTTTCTAATATTTCAAAATACCGCGGTATAATTTGAGACCGAACAATACTATACCCTTATAGTAATTAAGTTTGTTCTTCACACATCAGAGAATTGAATGGAGTATGTGATTCCTTTCTTGTGTCACTTTCCAAGTAATGATAATTTCAAATGAGAACTTTTTTATCCTGTTGGAGATTGGGTTAATTAATTTTTTTTACTGTAGAGGTGAGATACGACTTGAAGAATCACTGTTGCAGAAAGTCGCTGATTTCCTTGTCGTTTTTGCTAGAGTAGTAGCAGTTTTGCAGCGCAGAGAGAGCAGAGGGGTGGGTTTTTGATGAGACAAGTACAGCAGCAGCTACAGAAGGGCAACCTTGGAATTTTTATTTTAAAAAATCCTGAAATGACACATCAAAGCATAAAACATAACATTTATATATATATATATATATTTGTATAAAATTGAGGGTTGATCCTCCCCTATAAAATCTCCCCCTCTGAGCCCCCTGACCCTACGCTCTGCATTTTCTCTGAAAAGCTACAACTTTTTTTTGTGGTAGGAAATGACTCATATATCATTTACCACAGTAAAAAATAAATAAATAAAAACATGAGTAAAGTGTGCAAAGTAAAAGGTGCATTTAGTATAGGGATTGGTGTGAAGGGGAAAGAGAGAGGTTAAAAAAGAAGGGGAAGGAAGGCTGTGTGT